AACAAATATTTTATCATTGAAATTCAAATGAGAAAAATTCTAGCACGGTTCATTGGATAGGTCTTTTGAAAGGCTACAAAAACCCTATATTTTGAAAGTCTACAACATTTGGCCACTAGGAAAACTTTTAGTTATGTTGTGCTTTGGGGACGGTTTTTTTGACGTTTCTGCCCACTTTTGGTTGGTATGAGCGTTCCTTTTTCATAAAGATAAGCTCGGTAAAGGTCAAAACTAATAATAATTCAAGCTCAACACCGAAAAGTGAGTCGATTTTTGTATCTTTCAAACATCGCTAAGAACTTTCATTTTTCTAGAATACCTTCTTCATACTCCTCCTCAGGGTACCCTCAACAAGTGGCTTCTACCAGAATGAAGTTTTTACCGTTTAGCAGGCTGTCATTTCACTTACAATATTATTTAAGAAGCAATAGCACTTCATTCCGCAAAGCAAATAATATTTACAAGAAATTACTTTTTTTGAGAGTACTCTAACGAAGAATAGAGGACCAATTTTCGAGAAAAATGAAAATTCTCAGAGATATTTGAAAGATACATAAATCAATCCAGTTTCTGTTAGTTTTCTATTTCATCCAAATCTCCTATCCATTAAATGTTAATAGGTCGGAAGAAATCAATAGAAAGCTAAGATCTGTATTAGCTACGTTAGTGGTGTTAGTTATCCTACTTTAATTTGTAGATTGATATAATAAAGAAGATAATATAGGTTCAGATGATGAATGTGTATTTTATTCAAGGAAAACGGGTGACCGAGGTAACAAAAATCAACAACTGAACTGCTGGGGAAAAACTTGTTCATATAGCTACGCGAGAGAGAGAAAGAAATAATATAGACAAATATGTATATGTTGGGGAAACATCGCGGCTCACATAGGTTACGTAAAGGAGAGCGAAAAGAATGAAAAAGGCTAGCGGCAACAACATAACATCTGTTGACGCTAACAGTTTCCAATGCTGATTCCGGTCCGGATATTGGTTTAACTCAGAATAGGCTCTTCTCTATTAAAAAGAGTTTTCAACTGCTTAAAAAATGGGTGAAAGCGTGCCAAAAAACCGAATCCCGAGCACAACACGGCTAGGAACCTTCCTATTGGTCACAGTTTTTAGACTTTCAAAATATATCCACTAGCTGAGACCTATCTGGATTTAAATTTTCAGACTAATCCATCGAGTATTTCACTAAAAAATTCCCGAAATATGAGTTCAGAACAGTTAAAAAAGCTAATATATAAATGTCTTGACTCTGTAAGGAGCGAAAATGGAAAGCGGCTAAGCAACCCTATATACCAGAAGATAGAGCGAGCGGCGTTCTACAAAACCTAATATTCCATCCTTCACCCAAATTCGGAAGAGATTTTTTATTCGAAGACAACGTGCTTATTTCAACCCGAGTCTATATTCAAACATTTAATAATTTATTACCAAAATGATCAGCTCATCGAGCTCTACAAACGGCGAAAGTTTCGGTCGATTCTGAGAAAGTCATGTATAAAGTGGTACGTTTCCCATGGATTCATCCTATACTTTGAAACATATGCACATTCTACAATGGTGCTATTTCATTTGTATCATAAATTGTTTTTAAATCATTAAATGTATTAGCTTGATAGAATTTTGGTAATGAAACACTATGATCAATTGGTGTTGTAAATCCGAGAAAGGAATTTGTTTTGGAGTCATATTCAACTTTACGAATGATCTCTGTGATGTTTTCAGAACAAAAACCAAACTGGGAATGACATTGCCGAAGAGATCCAAAGTAAAATTCTGCTTCACTAAAAGCAGTATCTGATTTTTTAATTAATTCACCTAGTGTTGTCAAATTAGGAATAGAACCATAAAGATTTAAACGAATAAATTCATAGACTTGTTTGCCACCGAGAACATATAAGCATATGGCAAAATCTTTAATTGATTCAGTATGTCGAAAGTTATTCGGAGATTGTGTAAAGTTGTTTATTAAATTGCCAATAAATGATACTAAAAATCGATTTGTTTGCTTAACATCATTTAGATCATTCATTCGATACCATTTTATTAGTGACTTTAATAATGGATGATTAAGAATCATTCACTTAGGATGCCCATCTATAAATCACACCTTTTAATGCTTCACTTTCGCCCTCTAAAAAATTGAGTTTCAATATATCAATTCTGTCGAGGAACATTCATTTGTAAAACGTTCCTAAGAAGCTTCTGGTTTTGTTCAACTTAGCTGCTTTTTCAATTAAATAAAAGCATCAGAGCAAAAAGAAATAAGATACATGCCAAATTTTAAATAATCTCTCTCGTACTCACTCGAGTCCTGGTACGAGATTCTACGCAATTTGAAATAGATTCGATTGAAAGTTAATATGATCGAAGTATGGAATTCCTTGCATTACGCACAAATGGTAAGTAATAGAAAACGCACAATAATCTAATTATCAGATTAAAAAGAACAAGAAGGAGTTCAACGGTTTTAGAGTCCTGCGAAGCGTTAGTAACTCCAAAAGCTATACTTCGTTCTATTAGACTGGATCAGGGTAGATTATGAGAGTCACAAACTAGAGAGAGACCGAACTACTAAGACTTGCATACCACAGGTTCTAGCTTGCTATATTCTTGCATCACTTGATTTTCTGAGGGTGTCAGTGGGTGTGGGTGTGGATGCGGGCAGAGATGGGCAGCTCCGACTCCGGAGCGGAGCGACCTTTTACCTGTAGCTCCAACCGTACGCTCATTTTTTCGCTTTTCCTATATGAAAAGAATTCGAAGAAAGATTAGATGAAAATCCATCGAAATTTTGATGAAAAACTGAGATTAAAGTGTTATATCTTCTAATCAGTTTTTCATCAAAAGTTGCCAAGAACTTGTACTTTCATATGTAATTTTGCTCGACTCCAATTTTTATTGATTGAAGTTCTATAAAAAAGATGAATTTGTATTGATTTTAGTACGTAATGTATGAAAGATCTTCAACTGATTTGGATCGATATGCATTGATTGTAGCTGATACATTTCGCCAAACTTTAATAGATTTTAATCGAAGTTGATCGGAACTACTCTAGACTGCAAAAAGTTAATTGAAATACTCAATGAATTATCGACATTTTATAGCTACTTTTGACTAAAAGTTAATTAAAAATCTACAATTTTCATCCCTTTTGATCTGACTTAACTTGCCACTTTTTACATGATTTTTTTCCATGAAGAAAGGAAGAAGAATTGACAAGGAGAAAGCTCGCCATCCATTATTAACTTTAANTAAATCAATCCGGTTTCTGTTAGTGTTCTCTTTCATCCAAATCTCCTACCCTTTAAATGTTAATAGGTCGGAAGAAATCAATAGAAAACTAAGATCTGTATTAGCTAGGTTAGTGGTGTTAGTTATCCCACTTTCATTTGTAGATTGATATAATAGAGAAGATAATATAGGTTCAGATGATGAATATATATTTTAGTCAAGGAAAACATGTGACCCAGATAACAAAAATAAACAACTAAACTACTGGGGAAAAACTTGTTCATATAGCTGAACGAGAGAGAGAGAAAGGAATAGTATAGACATATATGTATATGCTGGGAAAACATCGAACGTCACATAGGTTACGTAAAGGAGAACGAAAAGGATGAAAAAGGTTAGTAGCAACAACATAACATCTGTTGACGCTAACAGTTTCCGATGCGGATTCAGGTCCGGATATTGGTCTAACTCAGAGTAGGCTCTTCTCTATTAAAAATAGTTTTCAACTGGTTAAAAATGGGTGAAAACGTGCCAAAGAAGCGAATCCCGAGCACAACACGGTTAGGAACTTTCTTATTGGCCACAGTTTTTAGACTTTCAAAATATATCTATTAGTTGAGACCTATCTGGATTTAAATTTTCTGACTAATCCATCAAGTATTTCACTAAAAAATTCCCGAAATATTAGCTCAGAACTGTAAAAAAAGCTAATAGATAAATGTTTTGACTTTCTAAGGAGCGAAAATAGAAACCGGCTTAACAGTCCTTTATACCAGAAGATAGAGCGAGCGACGCTCTACAAAATCTAGTATACCATCCTTCAGCCAAATTCGGAAGAGATTTTTTATTTGAAGACAAAGTTTGCGTAGTAGTGAAATTATTGGGCTTCCATTAAAAGTTTCACTTTTGGAAGCTGAACAACTTGACTCATGTGTGGTTCGATAGAGCTGGACGCCGGCTATCAGAATATATATAGGATGTTTTCTTTTGATCCTAAAATTAAAAAGAAAACCTTCGCGCAAAAACTAGAACTTTTCAGTTTGACGATGTTTTTCCCGAAATTTCGAAAATCGTATTTTGCTTATTTGAATCAGAGTCTATATTCAAACATTTAACAATTTATTACCAAAATGATCACCTCATCGAGTTCCAGAAACTCTGAAAGTTTCAGTCAATTCTGAGAAAGTCGATGTAAATGTGGTACGTTTCCCATGGATTCATCCTATGCTTCTTTTCTATGTGGTATTCAAACCACAATAATTCCGAAATTTGCTCCTGTTCTAAAGCTATCTTGTTTCTCTTCGTATTTCCAGGCCCTTATCGTTAAAAGTTTTTTTAGAATTATCGTTCGAAAACTCTTTGTTCGAAATAGAATCAATTCGAAATGATATGACAACATATGGAAAAACTCGAAGACACTCTCCTCTGTTATTGAACAACAGTGAAAAGGCTAACTCGCACAACTTATTTTATTTCTAGAGAACTATCGGAGATAAGCATAGTAGTGGTGCTTCATTTGGTCGTTCATTTGACACAAGAAATTTTGACAGGCAGCAAATAAATGCGCATTTGTAAATCTAATAGCATTGCGGATGATTGACAACTGACAACATGGAAAACCAAAGAGTTTATTATGTTCAATCAGCACTCTCGTTTTTGTGTTATAATAAAATGCGCGCTTCAACGTTATTGATAAGAGTGAAGTAGCTGTTGAAAGTTCTGTCAAATACATAGATAAATCTAGAAATTCAATGAATATCGCTACCTCTAGACTGATCGATCATCAGCTCTTTGTACTATATCTTTAGAGGCTTCCTCATTGCAGTAGTAAATCACGGGCAGATCTCAGTGTAAGATATAGATGTCAAATGCGATCATTACCGATATCGCAACAGAAGTTGCATCATCGTTGGCAGCTATCAAGCCATCCAAATTAGTTCGTCGCACTGTGTGGATCAAACTTATTCTAGCTGTTGTCCCATCAATTGCCTTTGGCGTGTTCACAGTTGTTTTTACGCTTCAGCAAAATGCATTCGCCGCAGTAGCACGTGAACAAGATCAGTATCAAGCATCGGAGCAACGAAAGCAGGCTATTTTTGACAACTGTATTGATGTCATTTCTGAAATCCTACTCAGTCCAAACTTCAATCGAAGCAATGTTGATCATCTTCAACCGATTCAAGTGAAAGTTATTACTGCTCTTCGGCGTCTTGACTCGCCTCATAAACGAGATATAATATTTTATCTATATGCAAATAAACTTATTCGAGGTGATTTTCCACTCGAATTTCGGCTTGATTTGCGTGGTGCCGACCTTAGTGAAGTAGAATTTATGAAATCGAGTAAAACCCGTTGTAACCTGACTAATGTGTTTCTACCGGGAATACTCGCCTCAAACATTGTGTTTTCCGGATGTGAACTCGATGGATCGAACTTCGAAGGAAGCGTAATGCATCGAAGTCAATTTCGCAATTGTTCGTTAGGATTCGCTCAATTCTTACATGTCAATCTTGAACAAGCCACATTTCAAGAGAATCTGTATTGGAAAACTAATTTTTTTGGTTCATCATTGGTACAATCATCTTTCGTGGGTTCGAACGTATTGTACTTCGTAAATTTCGAAAATGTAGATCTTTTTGGTAGTGACATAAAAGCAGACCAACTGTTTGGTATGCATTTGTTAAATACTACCAATGTGTTACTTAACGCTCGCCTTCCGAATGGGTCTTTCATGGTCCATTCATCACAACTGATCAAGGATGGTGGAGCTGAACAAGAGGTAAAAATGAGCAGAAGAAAAGAATAACTATTCATTGATGCATCATCACAAAGCTCTACAAGTTTACTCTTCCATTGTTCTCTAGTGTGTGCGAACCTCGAATCTGCCTACATCGTGGTCTATGACCATCACAAAAGAACTCATACTGACGCACTATCATGTTACAAACTCGAGTTTTTATCCTGTACCAGTTGAGGGCAATTGCTACTTTTTGGCAAAAAAACAAAGTTTGCTTGGTCAAGATATCGACGTGAAACAATATTCGCGACTGATCGACCTTGGTCAGGCTTCATGTAATGTATCTGTTTATTTCGGCTGCTCTCAATCGAATCCAAACAATCAGGTTGCATTGAATTTTGGTTTTCTTAATGCACGTTATTGGCCTATAGTTTTCACACCGAATGGTAATGAAATTTAACTACTTACGGGGACACTACCCGAAGTGATTTACCGTTTTTGAGCTCAGATTTTGGGCATATAGAGAGGACCTCTACACTAGAACGACCCTAAAAGGATTTGGTCCCATAGGCTAAAACTAAAGTAAAATGGCTATAACTCTGTAGAGGATGGCTATAGGCCAGAATCCTTTTAGAGTTACTCTAGTTTAGAGGTTTCCGCTATATGCTCAAAGTCTGAGCTCAAAAGCAGCGAATCACTTCGGGAGGTTTCCTCGTTCGTTTATGTGCGTCTCTCTTGTTCTACTACTATAGTTTTAACGACTACCAAAAGACCGTTTGAATTTCAATCACAAACGGCATTGGTTCCACTCGGCACACGTTATATTACTCTCCGTCTTCAAATGCTTGTTTATAACCTCTCTACGTTTGAAAGCCTTCAATATTGCGCATTAGATAACATCCAAGTGTTCATCTTTCATAAAGAAGAAATATCAACAGTGTACTTATAACAGTAAATAAACTCCCTCGCTTGTTGTCACAGAGAAATTTTTCGAATTCGATTCGATTGATGCATCATGGATATCGTTCGTCAGGAACTATTACAGACAGACGCATCTCTTTCGACTTTTGTTCACAATAAATGAATGATAGGCCTGAAAATGGCAACTTGATGGTGAGCACGAGAATGCCTACGCGTGGGGGTGGGGGTGAGATTCTGCTCTCCACTCACACTCATACTCACATCCACCGTGCCGCACAGCATGCTTTTTCACAGATTGTTGAGTAAGACTGTTTGCATTCCAACAGAAAATATTTTTTCATCAATAGTTGAGAGGTTTTCGATTGGTTTTCATAGTGGAAGCGACTAAAAGTTGTGTAAAAGTTTGAGCAGAAAGTTTCTTTGTATAACTTCCTGACAGAAAAAGAATGAATAGAGCTCAAAAACCTGGTTTATGTTATAACTCAATACGAGACTGGAAATAAATTCAGCAAAAATGGTTAGAAATTTTCCAAGCAAGTCTGATTATTCTTTAACTTTTTAAGAGGACAAAAACCCCCACATACAAACCAAAATAGCAATGCATCCACGTAGTTTTTGTTATGAATCTTTTAATCAAACTATTAGTGAATAGAAGACCCTCACGCACATTTGGCACTCAATTGGTTCACTTCATGTGCATTAGCAAACGAGGGCAATGTTTGATCACACAAGAAAACAATTATGTTCTTCAAAACTTTCCAAAGTATCCGATTCGCGTAAGCTAAGACACTAAATTTGATTGATATCGTTGACTGAGAAGCCCAATAATGGTTGTTGCTCGGAAATTGAGGAAAGTCAATTAAGATGAGTCCCTTAGACCTCCAAATAGTGACGGATATATGATGGTATTTTTGCGAAGCAATAAACACTGATGAAGGCAACTTTACCATTAGTGTGACTGCGTGATGCCTTTTGAAATGCCCAGTGGATGGAGTGAACGTCTTTTTAGAATCGAACCAAAACAATTGTGTGCGTCATCTTGCCTCACCAAGTCACGCGATACGAGAGAAAAAACTGTTCATTGCGGGCGATTGTCACGGAAAACGATTGGAACTACCAGAGATAAAGAAACCAAGGCGAGTGGAAGCGCTACTGCTAGGAAACGTGGCGACCTCTGACAGTGACTCGTTCGATGAATTCAAAGATTTGACCGTCGGAGTCAAATCAATGAGATCAGATGAACACGAAGACTCACAGATGACTTTAACCTGAACTCGTTGAAGCATAAATGAAGCGATCAGATTACCACTGCAATTGCTACGACGTTGAAGAGTGTCAAAGCATTTTTAGGATGCTTTATTCTGGGCTTCCTATCGAGAATTTTGACACGAGCTGTCATTACCTTTCAATTTTTTCCAACGAGTGCATGAAAACAATTATAAATGAAATGTTGATGATTGACGAATCATTGTCATTTTCTTGGATTGTTTAACACGATGCTATTTGCCTTACAGACTCTTCTGAGGAATATTTTTAAAGCAAAACACATGTTTGGAAACACATTCGCATGTGGATCTGAGTGCCGGATGCGGGCACGCATTTTCTTCTTTCGAAGCCTCATCCAGACTCATAATCATACTAGCATCGATACACCCGCTCTCAGAGAAAATAGCAATAGCGACCACCACGCACAGGACAGGCTGCTATTGTACTTTTCCTCAAAGGTGGATGTCTAGCTACTGGTTTGATGGAGAGTGTGAGTGTACGTTTCGGTGTGAAGATGACTGACACCCACACTCCATAACCACACCCGCATCTATGTAAGCAGCGATTGGGACTACTGTGAGCTGATGTGATTCTCACGACGAAGGATCGAGATCGGTCAAAGGGTCAGTTGAGTAGACTCAGGCCTGTAATCGGAAAGGGAAAGGGGAAAATGAATGAATGAATAGAGAAGATATCGATCGTCAATATCATCAAGACAGTTTTTTAACAGATGATTCCTAAGACTCAAAGCTCCTGACAGTCTGTCTAGATGAAATTGGTTGTTCTGCATGTTTTCCAAGAAAAAAAGCAAAAACGAGTGCTTTTATTTCATCATAGCAATTGGGGTGTGCGGTGTGGGTGGTTGAGTGCGTGGCTCGGTAAATGAGTGAGTCTGACAATATTGCATCCACCCCTACTCCCATACCCACAACTTGTCTATATAATGTCACAGTTGCACGATGTAGCAGTTAGCAAAACTTGTACAACAAAAAGAAGTCTTTTCTGGTATTAATGTAACGGACACATGAACTGAAACTGTTAGCCGTCACAAGTTTCTGACAGTCGATTAAAATTAGTTCGAAACTTCAAGGCCGAAAGCTTTTAGTTTATACCAAGTTTAATTTCTAATCACTGGCTAACTTTTGTGACCATAATTAATACATTCATTATGATCCAAGTCGCTTTTTATGTTTTGAGAAAGCATGGGTTTGAAGTCAAGATGTGTGATTTTAATGCTCACTAAACTTTTGTCACTCGAAACCTTTCGTGCCTATATTTCTCCACCATTAGAACCTTGAAAATTGATTCAAATGAGCTACCAGGTTAGCTTCAATGCGCTAAAGATTTTTAAAAAGTCGGCCGATTCCAAGGCTGTGCGCCATTTGTTACCGGCTGAACTTTCAGCCTTAAAAATCTAACGGGACGATAGTTAGATAGAAGACACATCTAATTCCCTAAAACTACCAGGGTGAACTAAAGCAGGCGCTACACAAACATAGCGTACGATGTATTTCTGCTAACTGGTGGAACGTCAAATGCGACTCGTGCGACTTCTGAGTATCGACTTTTCACAAACCTTATGATTGACTTGGACATCCAACTGCAAGTAAATTTTTCGAATTAAGACTCCTTCCTGCAGAAAAGGAGATAGTCGTACTAGTAGAGGAGAGAAGAAAATTGTTCCATTAAACGCGGCCACAAGATTAGTGCACAAGTGAAAAAGTGATTCTCTTCGAAAATTAAATGAACATAAGTGATTCAGATGTGTGGAAAATAAAATAAAATGGAAGAACAAGAATGAAAAAAAGCAAATGATAAAACATCAAACGTTGACACAAACGACAACGAATTAAAAAAAGGAAATTCGAATTTTTTCGAAGATGTCCGATTTCTTTGGTTCCACGTTCAAGGCAATGCAACGCCGGTTGAGCCAAATACCAATTGATCTATAACATAAAACATATATGTTAAAAGAAATTCGCATAAACAACGAGTATACTCTCATTCAGTTTGAAATGTGATCTTTATAAACCACTATTACATTTCTACTGGGAGATTGCGTTCTAAAATTTCATCAATCCTAATTACCAACACATAGACGCATGCACAACTTTTGCCTAAGCAGAAAAGGATTTGACGTGATATTTCCGTCTGAATTTTTGGGTAGTGGGAGTCTAAAACCTGAACATTTTGAGCAAACAACGTAATTCTAAACCTAGCTTTCCTTATTTTTTTACGAGTTTTGGTATACAGGACGGGGAATGATTTGTCCACAAATCGGTCTTAAATGGAAATCTCTTTCGAAGTCAGCGTCACCTTGGAAATAATGCCTCTTCTTTCAGCACTCAACCACTCTCGATGAACATGAACGATTTTTCAGAACGCTATAGTCCATTCAATCAGATAGCTTACCATTCCTTTATAGTGCACATTTCTAGCTGTGATAGTGCCACGTAGTGCCTATAATCATCAACTTATTCCCTGTAAAAGTGGCATATTTTCAGACTACATAGAGCTTTTCAAAAACTAGAAAATGATGCCAAAATATGTAAGAAAATATGCTGTACTCGGTATTTTCTGAAGAGCACTCTGGTATAACCCTATAGAAATGGCACCAGATTTGGCAGCTCTGTCCATGCAATCTGCACAGTAGCTCATAGGACCAGAGTAATTTTTCACAGAGGTGAGAATATTTCGTGAGCTCAAGACTAATGCCAAAATGTGGATAAACAGATCGTGTCTTGAAATAAATTCGTACACGGTATTGCTGAAATCAGCTGGGCTAGACGTAGAATAGATACCGGCGCACAGTGGACAACCAGACGGACATTACCTGAAATTCTATTTTCCAAAGTTTAAAAATTGGAATGAATACGTCTATGGTTAGTATATCTTACGCTAAACCTAGATTTTCAGAAATCAAATTGATCCCTGGGAAAGACCGTCGCTAAAAAATTGTTCATAAATCGCTAATTGTGCGGAGATAATTTCTGTTATCAAAATATCAACATATTTTAAAATGAAAAACTATCTCAAACGAATGATTAGCCCATAAGCTTCATTTTGGGGAAAAATTATTTCAATCCAACCAGAAATAGAGTATAAAAAAAGCGATTACTGAGCTGAAAGTAGGTCAAAAAATCTATCATGCCGTATTATGTGTACCCTCCAAAGAGTTCTAATCCGATTGAACTCAAACCTTCACCAGTTATTCTCTATATGTGATTCATCTTTGGCCATTGCGCCATTTCACATCAATGGGCACAGCTGGTGCTATTAAACACCTCAAAACTGAGATTTTGCCTCAAAATCCCTATTTTTGAAAACAGCGCATCATTTTAGAGAAAAACTAAGGCAATATTCGAAATCAGCTCGCCGAGCTCCATCTAATGATATATAATAAAAAGCGACTTTTTCAAAAACAAATTTTCACTATCATGCTAAAAATGTTCCCAAATATTCACTTTCTCGACTTTGTAAACGTCACAAACAGCTCCAATCGAATTCAACTCACACTGTAAGTGAATATTTCTTGATGCGAAATCTATCGTACGGCTTGTCCACGTAACGCGACACTTTGCTGATCAAGTTTCAAAACAAATTTTTTTTCGAGTTGGATAGGTCTGAATGAGTTATTAAATGCATCTTTTAATGCTGATTACGAATTTAACATTTATTTCGTACAAAAATTAGAGTTTTGCATTGAAAACTGGCTTTTAAACTTTTCAGAAATCGTATTTTGAATTTTCTAACCAAGAAATTTTTCTAAAAAAGCCAAGGGACATACCATTCGATGCAGAATTTCATTCTGTACAAAATGGTCTGCTTAGCTTTGACTTTCGTGGGTAAGGACAATTTTCAGACTCTTATACAATTTCCAGGTTACTGAGTCTCTTGTGAGCTTCCATGTGGATGTATCGATCTCGTTCTAGCGTAGAACGATTAGTTATATAGAAAAGACTAACACTTATAAAAAACAAAGCGTTCCGACCATGTTAAGTGCCACAAAATTGCTCGACAAAAAACTCTATCACAGCGTTACGACAAATTTCACAGAGGTACGTTTATTTTTTGCATTTTTTATCTAAGCAAAAATAGTTTAGGGAAAATTTTTTTTGGTGTTTAAAAGCCCGTTCAAAGCTCTAGAAAACTGGCTCTAGAAGTTTTTCATTTGGGGAAATATTTTCACAAAAAATTAGTTTTATTAGCGGCTCTGAAGAAACATCCTCTTTTTATGTCACAGCATTACGCGACGAAAAACTCTTTCTCGAAGCTCGAGGCTGTTACTGAAAAAAGTCATTTTTATGACATAAATAGAGTTTGACAAGCTGCGCCAAATGGCGTTTGAACAAACTTTCTAGCTCTCATAGTTTCAGAGATAATGCAAAAAAGTGTGTCAAAAACGTCACAGCGTTACGTTTGAACAAGCCGCGTAGTCTATACTGCCAAAACGTTGTAGTGAATGTCGACTAAGTTACGGGTTTCCGAAATAGTCTGGTTTTTTACCCTAAATTCCTGTTTTTTCCTTAAAATAACATCTTAGTGGAAAACCAAGTCGCTATTAGCAATCAGCGCGTGAAACTATCTCGAATGATGCGTGGAACGATATATTTCATAACAGAAATATTTTTTCGAAAAATGTAGCAAGGGCATCCTACGGGTATTTTTTGCGGAAAACGTTTTTTTCGAGAAAGGGTTTAT